GTATTGAATTTGTCATGGTAATGATATTTAGCTGATCAGATTAAGTAAGAAAAAAAAACATCTGAATCATCTGAGTACGCCGGCAGGGCCATGGTGAGGCACACTCGGAGAGGAAATGAGGAAATGCACGTGTGATTAGCGGGAATGAATTAATCTGTATGTAACAAATTTATAAACAAATCCAAAGAAAAAAAATCCATGGTTTATGCTCAAAATATTTATGAAAATAAAACAGTGTCACAGAGAAAAGCTGAAGTTGCTAGGCGCAGAGGTAAATTATATAAAAGCATTTTTTAAACCTGCAGTCAAACACATGCACAGCTTATTAAAACGTCAGTGAAAAGGCTCATTCATCTACCGGTCGACTGAGCAGTGATCCACTTTACAAAGCAGAGAATATAATGCAGTGCAGCTCCTCATCATTTAGGTAAGTCATAAATAAACAAGTGGGACACTAATTAATACTTAGGCATTGATTCTGTGTTTACTGGACTACAGAGTAACAACTATAAGCAGTGTTAGACCTATGAGAACAGCTAATTAAGCCAAGTTGGTCAGCCTCTGCGGTTTAGTTTGCAGGGTTTAGTTTACAGACATACCTGGTTATCTTAAAAGGTGGGTTGTCTGAAATAACATTAGCGTGGCTTGGTTTGTTTTGTTTAGGTGTAATATTCACAGAGCTATCCAGTGTTTTCTTTGGCTGTGTTTGAAAGCGCTTTGAAAATTCAGAAAATACCTTATAATGGAAATCTGTTATGCTCACACTTATAAAATATCCGTGGTTTGCTTTGTTTGAATTAATATCGTAGGGTCGTTAAAAACATTGATACTCTGAAAAATATTGATACTTAAACGCTGTATCCGGATACAGTACTAATTTGGCATGGTATCGATGCTAATGGCAGGTGTTGGCATATTTGTGTTATTGTTCATTTAAGATTTCTGGATAATTTATAGATTAAAAGAAAAAATACCTTAAACTTAAAATATTGTCAATGTTATATATGGGTTATTTATTTAGCATCTATTTCTACACTTATTTTACTATCATCTGTGTTTCTGTTCTGCATAATTTTTTATTAAAAACAGAAACTGGTTGAATATTTCTATGCCCTTTTAACCTTTTTTAAATCCCCATAGTATCAAATGGTATTACAGTAGTAGCCAGTCAAAATTACCCTTCTTTCCTTGATGGGTCCCTGCCTGGTCCCCTACAATTTCTTTTTAAACATAAATCTTTGTACTAAAATATAATTCAGTCATGATTTGTGGACATTAAGATCTAAAGAGAAGCGTCAACTCCTGGACAGACCCTGTAAATCAGTGAAAGGGTGGAGTTGGAGTAAAAAAATATGCACGCCCAGGTGAAAGAGGGGGTCACTCCAGTGGCTGGAAGTTGGAGGGGATTCTGCTGGGAGTTGCAGGGAAGTCTGCTGCCATTAGGCTGGAGTTTGACTGAGAAGGGCCATTTTGAATGGCTACGACTTTATTTATTGGATACTTTCCTGAGTATTAATATCAAGTTTGAAATGTTAGTATTGATACCCCTGTTCTGTTTAAAGTTGTAGGGAAGTCATATTTAAATGTCAAATTATTCTGGCTTAAACATGTATATAAATGTAACCCTTTATCAGACTGTAGTATCCTGAGACCATATTGTCCCAAAAGTTAGAAAATTTCTATTTAAAAAAAATCCTGTCTTTTTATCTGTGGGTTTGTTTTTTTGTGTTTTTTTTGTCGTTATCTTATGAAGGCCAGTTAGTTATACGTCAGCTTGTACACCTAAATTCGGCCAATCATATATCAACGGTCATCTGTCAATCACATCGGTCATAGCATCTTGATCATATGTCACAGCTAATATACGCAACGGTTGAAATAAGAATCATTTCCTTTCCCATTGAGTTGGAATTTCCCTTTGGGAACCTACTAGCACTAAGTTGCTAACTGGTTAGCAAGCTGCTTTCGAGACACCAGCTACAACCAAAACATGCGAATGTTCCACCACAACAACCCCGCCCTCTTGATAAACTACCAATCACATTCACTTTATTCACTCGTGTAAAGTTGTGCAGTAATCAGGAGAATTCGGAAATGCAATAGGATTTTTATTTTATTTTATTTTTTTCCTCTGAGCTTCTTTTGTTTTTTTCTCCCTTATTTCATGCCGGTAGCTCGGACAGACAGTCTGAAGGACAGCTGCTCCAGAATAAATGGCCTAATAGTTCATTCTGACGTTGAGCATTGCCCTTAAGGACATTTTGATTGGAGCTGCTGAAGTCAGCATGAACCTTTTCTCTGTTACCACCTGCAACTATGAAGCTGCTTCTGCTGTTTTCACCTTGCGATTCTTGGCACATACACATGTGTGTGTTTGTGTTGCCGTGTGAAAGTCTTCTCCTGTCGACACCTGCTGATGTGGGACATTTATCAAATTTGTTTTGGACTAGTTGGTTCTGAAACCTGGCAGGTGTGTGACTGTGTCGTCCCACAGGCAGACCTTACAGAGCAGCTAACGTCAAGGCACGTGTTAGACTTTTCTTTGCTGTCCCACATTTTATGTCAGGTTTTACTCAATCAAGATAATTCCAGGACCAAGAAAAAACATCTAGAAGAGAGCAGAGTATTAGAAATAATGTATTAGAAAATAATAGGATACAGAAATGTAGAACCAAGCTAGAATATGATAAAACTGAAATATAAATAATAAATCAGCAAATCAAATGGATTCTTGTAATAAGAGAAGTTTAAAAAAAAATGATAAATAGAAGATTTTAGTATATTATTGCACATAGGAAACTGTTATTTATGAAAAAACAAAACAATAAATTGTACTATAAAATACCTAACCTTAAAGGCGCATTTTCAAGTATTTTCTGAAGTCTGTCAGGGAAATTAACAATTTTGGTCTTAATTGCAATATAATTTTTTCGAATTGGAACCCTAGCCCTCCTCCAGAGGATTTGTGCAGGTTGCCGGGTCAAAAGAGAACAAATACGTAGTGCTGTTAAATAAAAAAAATGACTGATGTTGATTCATGTTGAGCAAATCCTACTGAAGGCCTCTTAGGTGGTGTTGAGACTATTTCAGGTCCTCTTCTCTTGCTGGCTTCCATGTTTGCAGACTGCTGCTTTTTTGCCAACATAAAATAAAATGCTGCGCTCTGTTGTGGCAGCTCACATATGATCGGCTAAGGAACCAGGAAGTAAACACCGGTTAAACACTTCGTTGAAGTAGTTCAGCACTGTACCTCCAAGTAGACACTGTTGATGGAGAAGCCTGAATGTTTACAGTAATGTTGTGACAACCTGCTTGTTGCACAGAGCTGGCTGCACCGTTATTCCTAAACCCTCCTGCTTGTTCACAGCTCAAGACACGCCTTATTTACACCCATTAAACACATGCACTTACCTGATTGGTCCACTGTTCAATCTGGCTCCTAGCTCCAGTTTGAAAAATGTCAGCGTCTCAGCAGACAGCGTAACAGAAACAACTGCTGCTACTACTTCTGCATATTCCGTTCTGTCAACCAGAAACAAAGTCCATCCGAGGCTGTTTAATCCCTCGTGCTAGCAGTCTTTTGCCTCTGTTCTGCTGCATGAACACCACCGATCATTAAGGAAAAGGAGAAAACCCAACAAATAAACTTCATTCTGTGCTCCTGCCGTGCCATCTCCATCCCATTTATTTTGTAATGGTTTTGGTTGGTTTGGTCCGGTGAATTTCTTACCTATTCCTCCTTTAAAGTTCTAGTTAAATTATCCTTAACATTGTGTAACAGGAATCAGGCAGATGCTGACAGTCACTTCACTTTAAACCAGTCAGCTGTTTCATCAGCCTGATGGTTAAATTAAGCTCATATTTGAGCTAAAATCTTTAATTCTAGAGATCTAAAAGCTGCATTAGAGAAGCAGGATTCACGCTGTTTATTTTACATTGTTCAACTTTTTATAAATTAACTTTTGGAGCCTAGAGTTAACTTTATTTAGATATTTAGCTGTGCTAGCCTGCCCTATAGCTAGCCGGCAGCAGGCTGTTTATTTTACCCACAGACATGCTGCCTTTGGTAGCTTGTGGCGAACATTTGTTTCAAAGCTCGAATACAGAGTGAAATGGGTTTTTTTTCCCTTAGTTAGCCTAAATAACCAGCTGATGCGTTCATAGCGGCTGAGCTGCACCGTGCTTAGCATGCTGGAAAACCTTTAACAGTCAGTAGTACAACATGAACAAAAGACTATTACCACTTCCTCCTTTCAAACGGTCTCCTCCATCTAGTGGTTCAGTGCTCCTGACCTTAAGCTGCTGCTGCTGCTGGGATCTTTGCTGTAGAATCAACTACTTTCTGCAAAGTGCTTTCCATCTCTTGAATGGAGCAAATAGAACCAGAAATACTGGAAATAAGAGACGATCTGGACCTAAGGCCACTACAGGCTCGGTGATGGAACAATAGGATGGCATTTGGTTCTTCCAGACATCTAATCTCTCTGTTCTTGCAGAGAATGCATTAGTCTTTTTTCTGCATTATGATCCAGGTTGAGTATTAGAGCTGAATCTTACTGTTTAATTGGAGTGTGTGGGAAAGAATTTAATTGATTACATTCTGTATATTTATATAGGAATCTTGCTACTTTGTCTTGTAAAGATGGCAGCCGTTGCAGTAATTTGCCAGAACATAAATGAACTCATCTGTAATGAAGTGATCTGTGCAGCTGTTGTCTCATCAATGCAAAGGTTAAGAAATTTGACCTCCTTTTTTTTTTGGTTCCTGCAGTCTAAATCCTTTTTACAAATCCAACTGTTTTCTTGTTATTGGCTCCGTTTTGTTGTATAAACAAAACACTTTGTATATGTTTAGAAAGGAGTGAGAGTTTATTAACCTTGTTGCTGTTTCTGGGTTTAAGTTTGTGTGTTTTGAGGCGGTGAAAATGGTTTCATCCCCTTCATTAACTTGATCTCTTGTATGTGTTTGTGTGTACATGTGCGTATGTTCTCTCTTCCAGCGATGCCAACCTCGCAGACGTGCTATCCGACACGGAGGAGTGTGATTTGGGCAGTCTGGAGCACTTGGAACGAGGCAGCACAGACACTCTGGCCAATGGCTGCCGGGTTGACTCTGAGGCGGCCAAGAGGCTGGCCAAGCGCCTGTATCACCTCGATGGTTTCAAGCGCTGCGACGTGGCCAGACACCTGGGCAAAAAGTGAGCAAAAGTGAACCCCGAATGGAGGGAATAAATCATCAAACTTTCCTCTTTTTGGAGATGACTGCTAAAACCACAGATTAACACTTTCTAGGAAATCCTTGTATTTACATCCACCTGTACTTTAAGTTTTCTGTCTCAAGCTTCAGTGTTGGTGAGGTCAGTCATAAGGAGCCGTGATCCTCTATGTTTTAGGTCTTTCTCTGTTGAAACACACATAAATGAAATAATAAATCTTACGCTACGTTCACACTGCAGCCTGAAGTGAGCCAAATCCGATTTTTTTTTTCTGGCCCATATGCGAACTGTATCTGATCTTCTCATGGCTGTCTATACAACACAGATCCGATTTTTTTTCCAATGCGACCCAGGCCACTTGGCTATGTGCTCCTGAATCCGATACGAATCCGATCTTTTCAAATGCGACCTGTGTCTGAACATAAAGGTCGCATTCACCTGACCTGAACGCCATTAATACCCAACAAACATCATTATTCTGGGTCTTACTATGAAAAAGTGGCAAGAAAAAAACAGCCATGGCAGACGATGATGCGGAGAGTAGTATTTATGTTTAACCATCTTGAAAAGATTGTGTTTTTTTATAGTTGGGAAAGATCACTAGATGCGCTCTGTCACTACCCTCCATGTTTACTTCTGTAAACATAGAGCATGCTTGCTTGTGATGTCATTGCGTACTTTCGTTGTATGACTGCAGTTCACACAGGAGATCACATACAAGTCGCATATATTTAGAAATGTGATTGGCAACGCAAAAAAAATCAGATTTCACAAAAAAATCTGAATTGAGCATCAAGGCCAGCAGTGTGAACGTAGCATTAGAGAATGTAGCTGTGCTGAACTGGGACATCATGCTGAACTCTGGCCCCAAGGAGTGGAGTTGGACGACCCTGTTCTAGAGAAACACAGGAAGCACTTACTTTTGCATTAGGAGGAATGTTACACATGGTTTCTTAAAACTATTCAAAAATAAATAAATAAAAAATCAGGAAACGGATAAATCTAGTTACTTTTTTCATCTAAAATGTCTGAATTGGCCGATTTAATAACTGATTCAGTTCAGTTATTACATATAAAATGTTTGACATCATTATTACATTTATTGACTAAGGGAGCACATATCTGAAAACAAAGTCTTCTAATCTACAGGGGTTTGTCAAGTGTTTCAAAACATTCATGGCAATAAATGTATGGAGATTTAAAAAAATAAAATAAAGATAGCTAAACCTTTTAAAAACTCTTTTTAATATTTTTGGACATCCACAGGTTTTAAGTGGTTTTTAAATAATAAAAATGTAACAATATAGAATATATTTTATAATAGAATTAACTACTGTACCTAAAAAAAAAAAAAAATCAGGATGGTACTTCCAGGGTTTCCATGTAAGAAATGAGAGTAAACTTTCAGGATAACACTGGGAAAGTAAAGGGCAAGTCAGAGATTTTCAAGGTCAAATAACTTCTTATGACCTTGAAGCTGCTTGTCTTCAACATGGATGAAGTTTTAGTTTCTGACGTGATGAACAAATCATTTAGCCTTTGGTTTTCACCTTTTGGTTTCGTACTGTTATTACTGAATCTATAAGTCTGTCCTCCATCTTCTCTCTTAAAGCATGCTGAACTCCGCCCACATTACGCCCCGCAGCTTATCGGCATCTTGTTTGCATCTAACTCAGCTATCCTGCTATCTCAGCTAAATCTGCAGTAAACATCTGATAGCGGATCTCTCCCCGCCACAGAGAGTACGCTAATGAAATGTTGCTTTGATTGATTGAATTTTAGTAACACGGCGTGTCAAAAAAATTGTAAAAAGTAATGACTTAGATTACTTTTTGAATGAAAAGAAACAAACACAGTTATTATGTAGAGCAGCTAATCTTAACACTAAATTAGCAAGGAGTAAAATATACATTTTAAGCTATTCTCAGTGTTTAGAGGAAAAAGGTTTTAGGTCTCATGAAATAACTCAGCTCATTTTTATTTGATTTTTATTCAAATTAAATGTTTACCAACAGGAGCAAATATGAGTTTAAAAAAGCTACATACTCTCCTTAAGACATCCCACATTTCCAAGGATTCATTGCAGTTTAAAGCGGATGGTTAAGCTCAAACAGCATCCTAGTCTTTCTATGACCCGAAATGAATTTTAAAAATGTCTTTAGTCAATAATGTAGCTTTGTTAAAATCAAATAGTCTGCTTGGTTGGTAAAGATTACATTGAACTTAAAAAAAAAAAGTCTTGGAAACTGTTTTCAAAACACGAGAAAACTTCTTTTTGAGACCTGATGATGTCCTAAAATGAAGTTACATTAGGCCTATGGTGGCTTTGAGGAGCTGCAGAGATGCACCGCTCAGGTGGGAGAATCTGTTGAGAGAACTCCTGAACTACAGTAAAAGTTCCTTCTCACCAAGAGTAATTTAGGACCCAGCAAACATGCATTTTTGGCCAGTTATAAAAACCGTGTGGTTTAAAGCTACAACACATCACCCAGACCACAAAGAGTGTTTCCATTCCGACTAGACTTGATGTTGCAAAGAAGAACAGGCGAAGAATTCAGTCCATAGATGTGCAAACACGTTTGAGACACACCGCAAAGATGTTCTGCTTGTAATTACAGCAGAGCAGTGACTCAGTGTGGCTGGATGCAGAATGCATTCCACACCTAATCCATCTATGATCTTACTTCCGCTTCACCATAACTTCCTTGGTCTGTCACATAAAGGTCTAATAAAAACATCGAATTATGGGCAAAATCTGACGGGTTATGAATGTTTTGATGCAACGCTTCATCCCTGCACACGTCTTGATGTCACATATACATTCTGATGCTGATTATTTTTCGTCTCTCTGCAGCAACGACTTCAGTCAGCTGGTGGCTTCAGAGTATCTGAGCTACTTTGATTTCTCCGGCCTGTCCCTGGATCGAGCCCTGAGGTAACGCTGACTCTTTATTTAGGAGGTGTGTTAGACAGTAGGTCTATACACACACATCTTTATCATACCTCCTGCCAGTGCATTAGCTTTGAGCTAATCAGCTTGGCATGTTGATGTCGTTCATCCAGTGCAGCTGACATGGTGTGGAGCTGATGAAACAGAAATGTTTACAGGCAAGCTGCCACAGTTTACAGGGAAGTTCTTCTCTAATCTTTAAAGGACTTTTTTGTATGTTACAGGAACTTCTTAAAGGCCTTTCCACTGATGGGAGAAACTCAGGAGAGAGAGCGGGTCCTCGTCCATTTCTCCAGACGCTATTGTCACTGCAACCCACAGACACCCACCTCTGAAGGTTAGAGTCGTAAAGGAGAGGCAGCCAGTTTTATTCAACTAACATTCAGCCGCTAAAGGATGCTATACCTGTATCTTACAAGTTTATCTTACCTAGTGCACTGTAAAAAAAAATTAACCAGTTAAAATAACATAATTATTTTAAAAAAGAAAGGATAAAGTACTTGATTAAAAATGAAATGAAATTTGGTCTGAAGACTTAACTGATGATGTTCAGATAAATCAGTCAAAGTCCAAAATGTGTTTTCAATTTGAAATTAATGCAACTGAGGATTTCAGAGCTTTTTCAGTTTTCTTGGAAGCTTCTCAGTGTTTGGTTCTGGTTCTGGGTTTGCAGAGTAGATTTAAACCAGTAGATCTGAGAGGTCTGGCTGTCGATCCACTGACAACCAGTCTGTAATGTGTTTTGGAGCTAAGCCATTCAATGATTAATAGTCTAAAAGAAGTCTATTCTTTGAGAAAGTTTTAGTTAGTAGAAAAGATTTTAGAACTGGGCAGATGTTCTCTACTCTCTTAGTTTTCAAGAGGAAGCAGGCAGCAGCCTTTAGGATCAGCTGCAGCTGTCTGATCGACTTTAAGGCAGACCTGTGAAGACACTGCTGCAGGGATCAATTCTACTGAAGATAAATGAAGCAGGAACTTTTCAAGTTCAAGGTCCTGCTGAGACATTCGTCCTTTTTATCCTGGAGATGTTCTTCATGTGATCTTCTCCAGGTGACAGAAGGACGACTTTGTTCCTGTCTTTATGAGTCTCTGAAGATTCAGATCTCAGTGCATCACTGCACCCAGATTTACATCCTTATTGCTGCTTTCTATCTGGATTATCTGGAGCTGTATGCTAACTTTCAAACGCTGTTCCTTTGGTCCAAAAATGACTTCAGTTGAGGACAGTTTTGTCCCGTCCTCGGCTTTATTTCTTTTCTGCATTTACGGAGAGCTGGAATGGGTTCATGGTGACCTGGAGACATGGTGATGTACAGCTGGGTGTCATCTGCATAGTGACGGTGACTTAGATTAATTATTAAGATCTGAGTTAGGGTGAGGATGTAGATATTGAATAGGAGGGGCACTAAGATCACTGCAAAAAATCTAAATCTAGATAAGTCATTTTTTTTCTTAAAATAAGTGCATTTGTTCTTGAATTCAATAGGTAAAGGAGACATTTTGCCAATGGAACAAGACAATTTACACTTAAAATAAGAAAAGACAATTGAATTGTCTTACTTCAAGTGCATGTTATCTCGTTATCTTATTTTAAGAGTAAAAATACTCATTCCATTGGCAAACTATCTAATTTACCTACTCAAATTAAGGGTGAATACGCTTAATTTAAGAAATTTTTACTTATTTCTAGCTCGCTGTTGGAGTGATGGACCCTTGGGAAACGCCACGTGTACATTTTTGTGGCCTTTGATGTAAAGTTACCTACCGACACCAAAAAGTCCCCGTGCTGTCAACACTGCCGTTCTTAAAGGGAGTTTAGATTACCGTAAAGCGCTCTGTGTCACATGACCCATTCAGCGACGTATCCGACCCTCTCAAGTTACATAGACCGGATTAGGAGGAAAACATCCTGCTGCATCAAAAAACACCAAGTGCTGTCAGTCATGATGCTGATTTTTAAATTTCATTGTAGATCTTCTTCTGTATTTTACCAAAGGCTTACAGTTAATGCGTTTCTCAGAACAATCCTGCTAGCCTTTCATCTGCTGTATCATGGCACCTCTGACTCCATCTTCATCTTTTGGCAGACGGAGCTCACACGTTAACCTGTGCCCTGATGCTGCTGAACACGGATCTACATGGACATGTATGTGCTTTCATCTTCCTGCCTCCATGTTTTGCTGATTTCTTCTCCAGAATAGGAGGGAGAATTAAAAAACAGTTGGCATGTCTTTGATACCTTTCTACACTTATTTTTTCTGTTTCACCCTCTCCTCCTCGTCCTACTTTCTGACCTGTTTCTGTCCAGTCTGCTTTAGTAGTATCATGTGAAAACCGGAGCCCTGCTCTTCAGTCCCATCCTCACTAGCAGTCTTAATGAATACCCCTCCTTTTTAACTAATATCCTCTCTTTCTTTCCGATTCCTTTTCCTCCTTTTCTAATCCTTCCCTTGCTAACCAAATCTGGTCCCCTGGTCTCTCTCTGCCCCTGCAGGTGGTGAGTATACTTACCAACTATCACTCTTCCCACAAACATATCCTCCTTTAATCAGCTAGAAGTGGAGCACAGACCACATTTATTGGTGTCGCAGATAAAGATCTGTAAAAAGCAATGAGATAAACTTCTATTTTATTCCAGTAGCATCATATAAAGATCAAAACTGACCAAAAATGCTAAACAAATCGTCATTTTTAATCAAACAACTGGTGGCATAGTTAGAAGCAAGCTAAAAAAAATCTACCTGAATCACTTTACTTTTTAAATTGATCAGAGCTGATAGGAAAAGCTGATTAGTAATCAGTGTCTTCCTGTTTCTCCTAACTGGAACCTATGTTTCCAAAGGTTTCCAGTCTAACAACCTAATATGTGTAGTCAGGTGTTCCTGTCCCTTCCATGGCCACATGGTTATTAAAATCAAACATCTAGGCATGTAGACGTTCTCCAAACATTTGTGTTCAATATCAGTGCATAGAGAGCTACATGGGATGGGTTCCAGTGGCCGAGCAGCTGCAACCAAGCCAACATCAGCAAGTATGATGCACAGTGTCTGATTCAGAGGAGTGAATCAAACCGAGCAGTGGAGGCACTTCTCTAGAACCACCAATTCCCCATCTGGCAATCTGATGGGCTAGTCTGGGTTTGGCGGTTGCCAGGAAAACTTCTCTGACTGTATTGCGTCAAGAGGAAAATTCAGTGGAGGGAGGATTGTTTTTTTTTATAAGCTTGGCCTCCTTAGTTACAGTGAAGGAAACTCGCAATGCATCAGCATACCAATAGGTGTTGGATATTTCCGTCCTCCCAGCTCTGTAGGAATAGCTTGGAGCCCCTCCCTCTTCAAGCATGACTGTGCATCCGTGCTGAACAGCAAGGACCATAAAAACGATGATTCAGAGCAGAGACTGAGAGCTTTTAGAAGAATTGTCAGAAAGTCAAATAAAGTTGATCCTTATCAGGCCCCGTCCACACGAAGACGAACCCTGGCCTAAACGCACAAATTTTTCACCAAACCAGCCTCTCATCCACACGAAGCCGGCGTTTCGGGGGTCTGTAAACAATCTTTTTTTTATTCAGCCTTCAGAGTGGGAAGATTTCAAAACGTCGTTTTCGCGTTTCCATCTTTACGCTCTAACCGCATATTTTTTTTTACACGCATGCGTCACAGCGTCGCCTCTAAACACGCATGCGCGACACATCACAACAACAATGGCGCCGTTGCTGCTAATGCTACTCACCCTGCTGTCGGACTTACAACAGAATCTTCTTCTTCTGGAATATCTCCAGGAAGAACAGAGCAATATCGACGACATAGTTCAGCACCTGAATTTGACTGAACCACGAAAATGGACCCGCAGGGCAACCATGTATAAATATTAGTGCGCATGCCCAACATTTCGTCGCCTATTTTTGCTTTGGCACCACAGCGCCACTTACAGGCCTGGCATACATTTTGCAGCGTTTTCATGCATTCGTGTGGACGATCACATTTATTTTACGTCTCCGTCTTTACGGCAAACGTTTTGGAAAATATCAGCGTTTTGTGTTCGTTTTGACTTCGTGTGGACGGGGCCTCAATCTGGACGCATAAGGACCACTTTCTAAGAAGAGTTGTTACAGATGCAGAACATGAACCAGCATTTTACAAAACTGTATGGATTCAAGGCAGGTGAGCAAATACTTTGGGGACTATGGTGTACAATCCAGTAGCAGCCATTAAAATTGGCCCTTCTAAGTCAAACGCCAGCCGAATGACAGCCCACTTCCCTGCAACTGCCAGCAGAATCCCCTCCAGCTTCCAGCCAATGGAGTGATGCCCTCTTTCTCCTGGGTGTGCCTATTTTTTTATTCTGACTCCACTAAATTACAGGGTCTGACCAGGAAATTATGCTTCTATTTGGAGAATGTCCACAAATCATGACCGAAAGAATATTTTAAAACAAAGATTGATGTTTAAAAAGGAATTATAGGCTACTACTGTATATGATATGACTGTGTATGATTGAAGGACCTAAATGTTAGTAAGAAGGAAGCAGAGATTCATCAAAAAAGTCTTAAGGTCCATAAGACTGTGAAGCTAAATGAATGAGAGCAGCAGGACTTCAGCTTATTAATAAGTTTATCTACCAATATGACGTCAGTTCATCTAGAATGAGATACTCTGCTCATCATAAGCTCTGTAAACAAAATTTGGAGCATTTCCTTACCATTCTGAATGCATTGTGAAGGAAAAAGACATAAAAAAAATTCAATGCTTAAAATCACAGCTTAAGCTCTGTATATATCCCACTTAAAGACGATGGTTTTCTTTTTCCATCTTAAATGTAAATTGAAATTTTTTGCAGTTTTCATAAATACTGCTGTGGGCGGGCCGTTCTTTCAGCAGATAGCCTGTTTAACTGTCCGCCCACTCCAGTTATGATTATTAAATCAATAGAACGATTACTTCAGTAATCGATTGATCAGGATTAATCTGATTGCTTGTTTTATCCCTTCGGGGCAGAAATGAGCAGCTGAACTAGCAGTGACTGAAGAGCCAACTGCAAAAATATACCGAGAAGAAATGATGGGTGGAACAAGAAACAGATGAGACTCATCAGAGAGGCAGCAGCGTAGGGAATAAGGGAACATGACATCCATCCATCCATCGTCGCTTCCTACCCGTCCTTGTGAGGCTCTGGCCGTGTGAGTGGGGGGGTTATTTGTCATTTGGCCAGATGCAGGAAAACTCTCTGGAGAGGGAATGAAACGGATCGAATGGCAGAACAGTGACCGAACACAGACACTAGTTAACCGCTGACAAACCGAACACAATCAGCTATGAGAAAGACTCAAACCCAGCATCAGCGGGGAGCCTCTGAAAAAGGGTAAGGAGGATGGGAAAAGAGAATAGACCAGATAAGGTTAGACGGGTTGAGCAAAATAAAATGGAAAACTACCATTAAGAAACCAGAAAACCTGTCGGAATAAACAGGTGTGTTTAGCTGGAGAGAAGATATAAACACATCTCTCTCTTCTCCAATAATGATGAACCAGATTTCCTCTCAGGTGGATAAAGTCTTCAGGAGGTCTGAACTATAGCATAGCAACACTGCCACCCAGTGGAAAGATTCCAAACTGCAGTCAAGTTAGAACAATATACCCCCCTGCACACACATTCTGTCCTGATTGTTTTTGAGTATTTTCTGTCAACCTGGATCCCTTTAAGGCTGAATTAGATGTCTAAAAAAGTAATAAAAAATAACTAATTGATTCAAATGATTTGTTGTTTATTTGTTTGTTTTTCCTTTTCGCTTCAGAACATCGGTAAGAAGATGTCTTGCCAGCAGTTTATAAGTAATCTAGATGGTCTCAACAATGGGAAAGATTTCCCTAAAGATTTATTAAAGGTACCAACATTTTGTTTTCTTTAATTATTTTATAATATCTTCTCCTTCAGATTTTTTTGTTTACTCTTTATTCTTATAAATCTAAGTAAACAAACTGTATGAAAAGAGTTTATTGATTTCTTCTTTTTTATATATATTTTTATCACAGGTCTTGTATAACTCAATCAAGAATGAAAAGCTTGAGTGGGCAGTGTGAGTACACCTTTAATGCTTGTGAGAAAGTAAAGTATGTGGGTTATGCTGGTGTGAAAGAAGCGAGTACCCTTGAATGCATGCCTCCTTGGTTTATCTCAATGGGTGTCTGTGTGCACAGCGAGGAGGAGGAGCTCAGGAAGAGCCTGTCGGAGTTGGTAGAGGAGCAATGTGAAGGCGGGAGTAAGCGAGTTGCCAGGGTAACGGACGGAAGTAACCCTTTCATCGCCATTCCCATCCTGCTAAACGCGGTCACCTACAAACACGGAGTGCTGACCCGCAAGAGTCATGCCGACATGGATGGCAAGAAAAGTGAGTCAAAAGGCATTTATCGATCCTTTGATTAAATTGATTTCCATTCAACGTTTGTTTCTCTTTAAGCTCCAAGGGGTCGCAGAGGCTGGAAAAAGTTCTACGCCGTCCTAAAGGGAATGATCCTCTATCTCCAGAAGGTACTAGATCTCATCCTCTGCTCCGTTGCCATAGAAACAAATCCACCACCGCAGTGACAGCCAGCTGAGCTGGATGCTGTGAGAGCCGCTGTGGCTCGTGTGTGTGTGTTTGAGGAAGAGCTGGAGATAAACTGTGAGGAAATAGAATGAGGCGCTGTGTATTTGTCTCCCTCTGCTGGCCGGAAGGCTGCACTGCCCACATGAGTGACCATCTGTGGTAGATTTTATACTTCATGACTGTAATCAGAGGAATACTTTTACCTACACTTAGCTGTAAAAAATAAAAGTTAATTATTTAACAGTGTTGTCTTTATTTATATTTTGTCTTAGTGTAATTTCCATCATGTTTACACAGGATGAGTACAAACCTGACAGTGACATCTCTGAGGTGGACCTGAAGAACGCGGTCCGGATCCATCACGCTTTAGCCACTCATGCCACTGACTACAGCAAAAAACCCAACGTCCTGAAACTGAAAACCTCAGACTGGAGAGTCTTTCTGCTGCAGGCCCCGTACGTCCTCATGAAAAAGCATGCGTGAACTTTAAAACAATCCACCCAGCTGTGTCGATTTTATTTCCATGTTTTATGCAAATACTGTTGTACAAAAAGCCCTTTATTATCTAATTATCTATATTTATCTGCTGAATTTAAAGGCAATGAAACTTATTTTACAAGATTTTTTAGCTTTAATTTTATTCTCTGTGGTCTCTGCTCTATTTGCTGCAGGAGTGAGGAGGAGATGATGTCCTGGATCTTCCGGATAAACCTGGTGGCAGCCCTCTTCTCCGCTCCTGCTTTTCCCGCCGCAATCGGCTCCATGAAGAAGTTCTGCCGCCCCATCCTGCCGTCCTCATCCACCCGACTCAACCAGGTCTGCATGTCCAGAAATGTAGATACCAGACTGTGGCTATACAGTATACTGGAACAAACTCACAAGCATGATGCCAAACTACAGTGGCAACTTCCTGACTTTGAGGCAACTTTCTGACTTTAGGGCAAACAGAGGCAAAGAATTATGGAATCACCCTGCAAACTTTAATTTCACAAAACTAACACCTGTATCAGATTATATCTTCTCATAACTCTGCTGTTAAAAAAGGAATCATCACACCTTAGACTGACAATGAAACAGTTGAAACAAGGGAGAGGATTATCACCTAAAGGTGCAAAATATGTTCACAGGCAGCCCGATCAGAAACCTCAGCTAAGTACAAAACAACTTGGAAAGGTTTAGAATGAGAAGGAAGAAAGATGGAAAACTTAAAACAATATATCTCAAAAGATGGAAATGCACAACAAAACAGGGAAGAAACTGGGAAAATCTGATCTGTAAAAAATGGCTGAAAGAAATAGGATCTAAGCAAGAAAACCAAAATGGAAAACCAAAACAATTATCAAAACTTGGCTTACTTAGAGTTCATATTTTCAAGTATACAGAAGTATATATATTTCAAGTTTACCAGGTTTATAGATGCAAATATACTAGAAGTTTACCTAAAATATACTTCCTGGCAATAAACTGGCCCACTAAGGTTAATATGTAGTGCATTTATAGTCTTCCAGGGATACTTTTAGTTTACTTGCAATAACCGTAAAAGTCTACTTGTACTTCATAGACCTAAACCAACGTGAACCTTTTCGTTTACTGATTGACATTGCTATGATAATAATCTTGTTCTGTTGAATATAAAACATTTGCTTGGTTAATATACAGCTATAATCACCCAAAGGATTCTGGGATTTCAGATCTGGGTGGAACATTGATTTCCAGCTCATCAAGCAACCAGCTGGTTATAATATTTAGATGCAAGCAACATTTAAATGCAGCAACATTGAAAATAACTGGTTAATTGTAACAGCAGCCTCACTTGTTGGGATGTTTGGCCACACCCACTGCAAAAAACCAGCCAATGAGGTCACACTGATTTACTCAAGGCCGCACTGCTTTAAGGTGCATCAGTTTTAAATGGCCTCATATTAACTATTATCTGTTATAATGGATGGATGGATGGGTCTGCATGAAATTTTATTTAATTGTCGTAACAATCTAAGAACAAGTTTTATAAGTGGAATAACAAAAAATAGAAAACGGCAAAGGCATCTATGTATATATATATATATATAATTTCTGGTTTGATTTTTTTTTTTTTCAATATCAATTTTCAAGGTGTATTTATTCAAATATCCAGTTAAAAAATTCTTTCTTTGCAAGCAAAAATAATGGTACGAAATTCCCTCCATAAAGAGAAGGATACACAGGGCTAAGGAGAAGCAGTCGTAGAGAACTGGATGAATTCATATTCAGTAATTGATCGTAAATCATCATCTGGTAAGGTGATGCTGCGGTGCTGTATAAGTGAGATTTATAAAGATAACTTCCTGAACAAAACACATACATTTCCACAGTCTTTGGTGATATAAGGCTGCATGTGAGGTAGGTCTGCTGGGGAGATGGCTGTCATCACATTTTCAATAAATGCTCAAGTCTACATTAATATTTTGGGCATTTTTTTGTGTCCCATCAGTTTAAACTCTTTTTTTAATGGTATAACATATCCTGCTATACAGCAAAAACACTAAACCAGCCTTGAAGAAAGACTCATAAAGTAAATGTTTTGGCCTGCAAATAGTCGGAATCATGAAGAATGTGCTCCATAACGACTACCGTTGGTCTCTCATGGAGTCTCTGCTTCAGAGGTTACAAGGTGATAAAAGCCACATGTGGTGCAGAAAACTGCTCCTAGTGTGTTGAAAAATTATTTTGCAATTTTTAAATTTTTTTATTTACATTTGAGCTAAAAAAAAAGGGACAGTTTTTCCTTCATTTTCCTTTTAGTGTTTCCTAAACCTAAAACTTTGACACTTTTTTAGGTGGAACCAAGTGTATTTTTGTGTTTTGTATTTTTCTCACCTAATTTAACAACTGAAAGGACTTTCCCCTGAACTGGTGCTTGCATCATTTTTGTCAGGGTTTGCATGAAGTTGCTGCTGTCGGTCTCACTGTTAGTATTTAGTGAAGATTGCCTGCATCATTTCATAGAAGCCAATTCTACTAAAACATGTTTTCGCGTCTCCTTGCATCTGATTGGCTGCTTTTCTGAGATTCCTCTGACTTTTGTTGCTGCAGGAGGAGCAGCTGCTGAGTCACGAGAGCAAGCTGAAGCAGACCAGTTTGGAGCTGGAGGAGCACAGAAAAAACCAGCCCTCGGCCGACCCAAAGAGCCGTGACTGGGAGGAGTACCGGCTCAAAGAGCACTACCTCGCCTACGAGGTACAGACTCTCCTTAACGATCCTTCATATATATGTTTGATTAACCTCTTAAAGCAAATCTGAGGGGTCAGTATTCCTGTCATCTGACGAGCGCTGCCATTCACTTTAGTTCTTGATTTATCTACAGCATCTTTAAAAAGTGTTTAGGTTTTTGTTCATGTCGCCACAGCAAAGCATTAGTGCATTCTACATCAACACAAAGTAGAAAATAAGAGATGATAGAGTTGGGCCTGTTTTTTAGTGTTTTGTCCTGTTTCTCTCCTAGACATAGCTATGTGCTCCGCTTCTACTGTGACTGTTTGGATGTGCTCTGTTTCATCCTTTGACTTAAAAACTGGCTCAGAGCTCGTCTGCCACCTGTGAAGCTTGTTTACCGTTAGCTTTTCTAACGTAGAATACTCCTTTCAAGCTTTTTTTTAATTACTTTCTGTTAAAGGGGAGTTTTTCCTCTCAACTGTCACTGCATACATGCTCAGCACTAGGGATTACCAGTCTGACGGCATGATCTGGCTCCGTCGTCTCTGTAAAGTGCCTTGAGACCACATGTTGTGAATTGGCTCTATTTTAATAAATTGAACTGAATAGTTTAGTGGAAGGAAAACGTAATTTGATAAAAAAAATTTGCCAGAGAGTCCTCCTTAGTTCTGTACTGCATTAAATCTCATTTTGATTTTGAACTCTTTGCATGATAACTTTGGTTCTAAAGCTTTCCATCCGTTGTCCTGCTGGGATGCCAAACTCCAGCCTCAACTCTTTTACACAGAACACGGTTTCTTTCACAGCTTTAACTTCATCCATCTTCCCTAAAACTGACTGCCTCGCCCTCTCCCTGCCGAATTATGGACTCAACAGAAAGCAGAGCATCCTATTTGATTACAAAGTGAAGTGAGCTTTGAATGGCAAGCCTGCTTACAACATAATTGCTAGACTGAATATTCATATTAGCTAAATCATTCTTTCATAGTTAAAACTTTTCATTTAGAAGATCGGTAATCACACCTGTGTTACTACAGTTCAGACTGGTCATATTGACCATATAGATATCTTTGGGGGTTATTTTGTTTAAATGAATGTTTTGACGGCTTGCCATACTTGTTTGGTGTGAACGTACCTTAAGGCCTATAGATCAGGACAGAGACATTCAGTTTACTGATCATTAATTTAGAACATTTTTAGGGTTATTAGAGTAAAGGGGGCTGAATATTAATCCATAGCTTTGAAGATTTGTGTTTGAAAACAATAAAAAAAAAAAACTTATTTTCCATCCACTTATCAATCAACAATTACTTTTGTAAAGTGCTGAAATGTGTTAATAAGTAGGAAAACTTTCATTTGCAGCATTGCATGTTTCATTTTATTACTATTTACAGCCTCTAAAGGTATGCTTTGAGCATTTGCATGATGTGCACATTATACACATTTTACAGTCTCTGACCTCCCTCTGCTTTTTGATGTCTTTGAGCAGAAGACTCGATATGAGACCTACATCAGCCTCCTGCAGGCTAAGATCCGCACCGAGACGGACGACCTGGAGAAGATCGAGGCCAGCGTGATCGGCGGCCTGATCTTGGATGGCAGCTTGGCAGGTCGAGAGTGCCGCATTAGAAAAACCCAATCCTCCCCGTCCATCAGCCAATCCCAGAACGGGAGGAGCGCCGGATGCACCGTCCCAGGACAGAGGACCTGAGAAACAGGGAAGACTTTGACTCCGCAGAACCCAGAATACTTAGCAATTAGTATGTTCTGTAAACTGTCACTCCCCAGCTGTTTAAAACCTGATGAGCATCCTGTCCTTGAGCAATAGCAGAAAAAAGCTGCTGAACCTCTGTTCTCTCAGCCTCTTATTGCACATTTGGAACCTGTGATCACTGTTCAAAGCGACACCATCAGTATTATTTTACCGCAGTCGCCTAGAAGCACCGTCAGCTTGGAGAAAACGTTCTACGTCGTTTTAAATGGTTGGATGACGGCTGAGAAGGAGAAATCAATCAGCAGACATGGCACCACTGTAGCATCGGCCTGTTTGAACTCATGCTAACACAGCCAGGCACTGACGGGCAGGTGTAGCGACCCGACCTACAGGATGGGTAGGTTGTTGAGTGTGAAGAGAAGGATAAAGTCCCTGTTTATATTTATTTATTTATTTAACACAGGCTTGTATTCATCCCAGGTAAAGGTGAACATGATGCTTCGTTGTCCTTTTGTTTTACCCCCAGAGTTGTTCTTTGGAGGCTGTAAAATGGATCAAGCTGTTAAAGCGAGCTGCTCCACAGAGGAGCTGTAGGTTTAGTGCCTTATTAGAGGGCACCTTGGCTCAGAGAGATCAAACGTCTGCTCAGACTGCCCCAAAATACCAACATGTGTTTATCTATTTCTGTTTTCAGGAGTTAAGAGGATCTAAAGAGGTGCTGATTTGAAAGAAATCATATCCAGAACCAACAGAGCAGTTTCTGTTACATTTTGTCACATTTCAAACATCAGGGAATGTTATCAGGATTGTATTTGATAAAGCATCAGAGTTGTGAGTCATTCCAGAGTAAAAGGTAAAGAGGAGGCTTGACACCTGCTTTTCCTCATTGCTAAATCCAATGAAACATGTTGAAGTTTCTCGCTGTGACGTGATAAAATGTGCCTGGTGGGATTTCTCTAAAGATCCGCCTTAAGTAGGATAGGATGGTGAGGGATGCAGGTTATGCCTGCCACACTTTGAGCATGTGTTCCAGTTGGATCCCGAAGCTGAAAGAATAAAAAAAATAGCAGGGTTTTTGTTGCATGACAAGCTGATTGAGTGAGTTTGGCCTTCTGCTGGCACAATCAGGCCTGGATCTCTCCGAAGGCTCTCTAGCACAAAGGCAGCCTTTATCTTTGTGACTAAACATGCACTATCCAACCCTTACGGCATCTGACCCCACTAAGCTCTGATTTATATGTTCCATGGACCTCTTGTAACAATTCTCTGGTCTGTTATCTTATCCAGCTTTGTTCGAAGCTGGTGTCTTTTTTCTTGCACCCTTCCTGCTCAATCAAAGCGATTTTTCTTTAGGGAAAAAAGTTGTCTGATTGTTAAGCGGAGCAGCAGGACTGCTCCTGCTCTGTTTAAGTCAATAAGCCTGTCGGTATGCAGGAATGGAGGAGGAGACGGCAGCAGAGTAGCCTTTAAAGCACTCGTCCTCTTGGTGTGAAGCAGAAGAGACTTTTTTTGCAGGAAAAGGGTCTGGTTTAGTTTTCATTAGCCTGCTGCTCAAGAACACGCCAAACACACCTTCAGCTGATGGGTTCTTTCCACAAAAAAAGAGGGAAAAAACAACCTTTTAGGGCAGATTTTCCTGCAAGGAGAACATGTGCAAGGTGAAGGGGAACATTTAGTAAAAATCAAATAAACATGTTTTTTTATTTTCATGTATCTGTTTATGACACAACTGTAGACCTGTAACTTCAGTGTCCGCTCACTCAGCCCTGGATGCGGCTCAGTTCACGTTACCAGGGCTGATCTGGAAGCTCTGGGGGGGCGAACTCACAATGACTGCTGGGGGTCTGGGATCCTTTTTAAGGTCTTGGCTGGAAACCTGGAGTCGCAGCTGGAATCCTGGAATCTGATTCCCAATCGGACAGGAATCCTGAAGAAGAGCCCGTTTCTGAGGAGGACCTACCAGCTGTATGGTCAGGATGAACAGCCGCTTCCTGCTAGTGCTAATTATCGATTCCCCATGTTCTAGGGTAGGCCTGTGTTGTAAAATAGTTGTGAAAAAAAGTGTTTTTTGTTGTTTTATTTAAAGAGAAAAAGACGACTTTGGCACTTTGATGTCAGCACTCGATCTGTCTTTTTGTTTTGTTTGTATATTTGAACTTTTTGACAGAATGCGCATACTATGTAAAGGACATATTTACTGAATATTTAGTCTGTGCTTCATAAAGTAAGCTTTTATACAGTTGACTGGTTGGAATTTTTTTTTAAAAATTGCTTATTTAAAGCGGTGGTTGATATTTAAGACGATGGTTATGGTCTGAAACTTTTGTAGAGAAACTGAAAGAGATGAACCATGAAGGTGCATTCAGACCAAACACGGTGTCCGCAGCGAGGTCAGTGGTTTATATAGTGTCCCTATGCAAACTGCGCAGGGAAGCGGCCAGCGGTGAATCCAACGCGCCGAGGGCGTTATCTGCTCCACTCAACTTTTGCTTCCTGACAGACTGAGGTGCTGTCTAACAGCCGCACCGGATGGAGAGAGAGCGAAGCGGTGATCGCTGATGCACGACTTTTCCTGTGAAATCGCATCATGGCAACCAATGGGGCTGGTTGTAGTTGGGACGTGGGTTAAACAAGTGCAGCCAATCAAAGCTTTTTTTCAGTTAATAGGAATATAGAGGAAGTCATGTTGACAGGATGAAATGAGGAATGCTCGGAAGAGGTTTTTAAATGGCTTCAATAAAAAAGCTAATTTAATTTAGACCTAGAAGGACTGTTCATCATCCTCCCTTACCTCCAGCACACAGCCCAGTCTCCCGCTGCCCAGCACCGGTTCTTTCTACCACTAAATCAGATCATCGTCCAGACGCAGCTCTGGATGAACCAAAGTGATCTACTATTTCACTGCTTCAGGGGCTTTTCCAAAAACTGACAGTCTCTCCAAGCTAATACAAACGTTGTGAATAGAGAACAATTCAGCAGCAGTCTGCAATGTTACATTTCACCTCTGCTTTTATTGTGAAGTGCCAAGACCTTGTCAGGAAAGGCTTCCGGGTTGTTAGGGGCAACAGCAGGTCATAATTAAAGGATCGAAATATGGTCACTAAATAAGGAAAACATGCCCACTGTTATATTCAATGACAGCACAGGAATGACTTGTGATGTTATGTAAAAACTTCATTCTGAAACAGCAGCACTAACATCTGCTGGGATGGCAACGTAATCGGCCATAATTAGAAATGATTCGATCTTAAAAACCAAATCAGCACAAACAGTTTTACACAAATCAAACAGCACTGAAAAAGTAGATAATTTTGACTCAATTTGGAGCTTAATGTGGAAATGGTTCACCTTTGGATCACCTAAGAAAAGATCTTTAATATATCTGAAACAACAGAAACACGCATGATCTTTATTTTTATCTATTGTTTTCATTTTTACTATTGACCATTTTAACTGCAGAAACCTGCACTAATGAAGCACTAACCATTAAGTCTACTTGCTGAGTTTTTTTCCCGTGGGTGGGGCGTCGGCTTCATGCAGCTGAAGCTATTTGTCCGTGGTGTAAACACTGGTGAACTCTGTGCTTGTCTGAATGCACCTTGAGACAGATGGATACAATAGTTGAATAGTTGTAGAAAATACAGAATGAAAAGATGGTGAGACCTTCAGTTAATGTTTTCCTGTTATTTTACCTTTGAAAAATGTTATTTTATTATTTAAAGCTACTTTTTGCTTTGCTATTTAGTGGTGAATTATAACTTTATATAAAATCTATTCTTTCCAAAAAAAGAAAAGCTTTTAAACAAATATGCCTTTCTGATCGCAACTTTTAAGTCTATTCATTTGCATTTTTCATGATCCTTTATATTTAAACTAAATTCACAAACTGAAATTGGACTCTTTGTATGCAACTCAATTTTGGAAAATACAAAATTTAAACACATAGACAACCATTTGTAAGCTCATGTCAACAGTCCAGTCTCAAATGTACCTACTGGTGGAGCCTGGCAGCCTGGGCCATGAGTAACGATGGAGGCAGAACCATCTAATATAACCCCTCAGCTGTCTCCTGCCGGAGACTCAAAATACAAACTTGGTTAGCACTTGAGAGCTCAGATGAAACAAGAGGGGCTAGAGTACCCAATACTGGCAGACAATCTGGCGAGGAAGTGAAGACAGTCTGCTGCTTAAATACTCCTCAGGAAGTGATGACCCAATAGGCTGCAGGTGTTAGAGGTAGAGAAGAACACAAAAGCCCTTCAGACCAGCAGAGAACAATGGCACCATCTGGTGGACGCATGGAAGAACTGAAAGAGAACAAAAAAACAACCCCCACAAACTAGAACCCTAACAATGTTAAACTGAAATAAAATTTAAAAATCTTTTTTCTTTTTTTCTTTTTATTTTTTTCCCCCCAGTGGCCCTAATTCTCTTCTGTAGTCAAAATATACTTTTGACAAAAATCATTTTCCTCAGTTTATATTTATTTATTCTATGACTTTCTCTCAAAATGTTTCCTTCATAAGTTACGTATGCGTAACTTATGCGTAACTTATCTCCAATGTATATCAACATATTTGATGTGTTCCAGACGACCGCTAAACGTGTTTCTAAATTACAGCTACTGTATTATAGCGTATTGGCAGCATTTTGGTATAAATGGGGTTCACAGGGGGAAACCATCAGTTTCTTCTCCAGACTGCATCCCTATTATAAGGTGAGCAAGAAGGTGAGTGTGAGGAACCCTCCCTGTGTTCACACCCACAGCCAAACCCAACAAACTTAGCAGAAACGACGCTGAAAGAGCCCAACAGATTTTACTTTCACAAGTGGAGCAGTACAGCTATCGCCATAGTGTTCCGCTTGTTTCATGCATATAAATTGCTTTATTATAATTCATGCAGTCATGTATTACAGATTATATGGACACTGTAATGTAAGTAGAACAGGAAAGAAAAAACAGAAAAAAAGGAGAAAAGATGAAGAAAGGGGAGATAAAAGGAGATAATGATAAAACATCTTCATTCTGCTTCATCACCTGCAAAGAGATGTAAAAAGAACGACACAACCAACGGATATAGTATAAGAGATACAATAAAGTATCACCTCGATACTATCGCTGAAGTATAAGTAGTATTATTTAATCTGACATGTATACTGTGGTAGCTGAAGATCAGAATGTGGGCTTTCTGTATAGTAGTGACTCTCTAAGTACCTGGAGCCAAGCACCTGTAGTTGTTTGTGAGAGTGAACTTGTGCATGTAAAGTTTATCCAAAGGAAAAATGCTCAATAGTGGTTGTGAAGAGCTGAAGAGGCGCCCTACCAGAGCACCAAGGCAAGCGCCAGGGGACCCAAAGCCCCAGACGTCCAAAGGGACCCCAAGAGCAAATGCTCCCGGGAGGAGCCAACCCAGGAAATCCTCCCCCCCGACCAAGGGAGGAGGCGAGATGGCCCTGACGAAATCCCCCAGCAACTGCAATACTGAAGCCCCCAGGAGCCGCAGGGACGAGTCCGCGGGCCCCGTCAGGAGCCAGCCACCCCGAAGTGGACCCGGCTATGGGCCCCAGGGATCCAAGGCCCCATGGGAGCCCCGCCTCCCGACGGGAGCCCCGTGAAGCAGATGCCAGGAATAAGCCAGTACCCGCCCGGGCATCCACCCCCAAACCCCCCCAGATAACTCACAGGGCCACTTCCTCAGCCCTCAATACTCTAGTCACCCCTCCCTCCACCCCTTTTTGGGGAGAGTAGAAACCCCCGCCCCGGCAGGCCCCCGCCAAGACCACGGACCAGGTGGCCCTACA